ATAAAATGTGTATTTGATAAATAAATATTGTAACGGTATATTAATCACATGATTTATTTAATTTTATGACTATTTTCTGACTAAAAAAAACTCCTCTAATTTAACCATTCAGGTCTTTTACAAAATTTCGGCCTAAAATCTTAGAAGGGTATTTTGCATAAAGGGGTGGTTTAGTCAGCACTCTACGGTACTTACTAGCCTCAGAAGGGTAAGATGTTTCACTTGGCCTCTAATAAAGAAACTGTATTAGCCGAACTTTGGGATTGGGCCAAGAAAATTACTTCATTACCTATTGAGAATCAGAAAAGTGCTTCACTTATCTACCATCTCAGAAAGGATGTACAAGGGATTGTTTGTGCTCTCAAGACCGATTTTCAAGAACTACAAATCAAGGAATATCATGGTAAATCTGATCCTGAGGAAAAGGCTCACGATTTTAGCAATGTAAAAGAATCGTGAAAAGACTTAGACCTAATTGCCTATACTAACACTCTAAAAATAGGAGTATTATGTACCAATCCTAAGTTTGAGCAGGCATTCTGTCTTTTTAATAGCTTCATAGAAATAAATGCCAGAACAAATCAGATGTTATTCCGCATACGATATATTAAGGATTATATATGTCATATTGAACAAAGATCATCTAATATTCCCATTACAGAGAAAGGATTATTCCAATGGTTGTTGAATACCAAACGAGAATGCCTTTCTCGAGAACTTCAAAATAGAGGAATTTTTCCAGATGTAGATTCTATTATCTAAAATAAAGACGTGCCAACTATTTGATTGTGGATAGCATATATGTTGGAAAAATTCCATTCCTAGCACTTATTTGATTGGAGAATAGTTAATTTTTTTCGAAAAGCGGGTATGATCATTTTCATTATAGAACCTATTCCTAGATACGATGAAAACGTTGCATCGTTATCTTAAGTTGTGAAGGTGAATTCCATTACCGTTAAAGTAGAGGAGATATCAGCAATAACTAATGCTACTATTGTTAATCGTAAGACTGCTGAATTTTGGAAAACAAGCTGAAGAAGACTTTAGAAGTGATACGCTCTTTAGACCGGCATCATATAGCAGATTGTTATGAGATTTTGCCTGAATCATTGACCAAAAAGTTTATCTTGAAGTATGAGAATTATAATCATATGAAATGGTTCAGAGCTTATAAGCAATTACGAGATGCTGGGTATTGACAATAAAATGGCTGTTGAAGCAATCATCCATAAAGATTATAAAGAAGATAGGTTTACAACTATCACTTGTGCGAAAAGACATCAAATTTGCCTAGAACTATTAAAGATTTGCACGTCAGCTAGAAATATCGATGATAGGGCCAGATATAAATCTGATGATGTTAAGATGCGTCTGAATTCTCCTGAATTGATATCACATCTCTAGGATTTAGTTTTCAAAATAGCTCGGCATTTGATAATACAGATGCATTGTGCAGAGTTAAAAAATTGGGATTGAAAACAGATTGGGCAAAACTTAGTTTACTGAACTTAGCATTACATGCAACCTATGGGTTGAAATTTAAGATTATAGACAAGAATCATAAATATTACTACCTAGTAGGTTCATTCGATAGTAAAGACGCTCTTAGATTTCCTTCATATCAAACGGGTGAAGAAATTTATTGGGAAAATGGGGAAGATACTCGGTATGGGTATAGTAAACTCCCACACGATGAATTAATATTAGATAATATTACTAGTTCAAGCAAAGTGGATAATAAGCAAATCACAGAAGATATTAAGGATTTATTCGATATGTGTTAATACTATTAGATCATGAATCAAGTAGATGAAGCCTTCTGCCATTTTTATATAATACAATTCTGCAAAAGGCTTCATTTTTTTTGGATGTCTTTCTTTTACGATTTGCTTATTAAGTTCGCCATAACTTCTTTTAAATCTTATATAAATAATAGAAGAAGACTATCCTAGTTTGCTAAAGCAAACTGATGTATCTACTGCACATGATAAAAAAAGTGGGTCTTAAATGGATTACGCCAAGCCAAAAAAATAGATATAATAATTAGAAAGATATCTGATTCAGACTTATTTACTCATGCTCGGATTTGACTATTAGCTAAATATAGGATCACAAAATTATCATCTAATGTTAGCGTCAAATTACGCATATTCAAGCTTACACTATTTTCTCGCATCCATGATGATACTGATGAAGAAGTAAGAACATATCTTCAAAAGTTTGAGGAATTTCATGATCCCTTAGAAGATAGTCTAGATGTGATACTAAAGAAATGTGGCGAAGTGGAAGTAAAGAAAATTTGGTTTACACGGGAAGGGCTTCTATTATTTTCAAAGCTTTCTCCTCAACAACTGCATAAAATTTTCGTAAAAAAATTCAGCTAGTACCGATCAGTACACATGTCTAGAACAGGTTAGCTAATTTATATTTTTTTATCATACATATGTTAAGGATCAGAAAAAACCCCTCTGATCAGATCATTTGCAGAACCCTAATGCTTGCTCTAACAATGTCTATTCTTCTCATTAGTTCATTGTTAACATAATCATGTATGAACATAATATCTCTTAGTGCATCAACTGACATTCCCAGTCTTCTTGACAGTTCATACATCCCGAAATATGTATCAAAAGAGGCTAGTGTTATAGTACACACGAAATTCTCAACATGAATATTTGGATTAAGTGAAATGAGCTGATCTATGGCTTCTTTGCTAACATTATCACACCCTTCCAATTTGAGATACTTTAAATTAAGACACGAACTAGCAATCTCTTCGATAGTTATATTAGTAATTTTACAAAAGCAAAGATCAAATTGTTGGAGTCTTGGGCAAGAATGAATAATATTACAAATTGATTTTTCAGTAATATCTAAAGATGGTACAGCAATTGATTTCAAATTTACAAAATGTTGCAACATAAGCTAAAATTAGTTGCAACATATATAGGTTAAAACTAATTGCAACGTAAGTTGCAACATTAAAAGTTGCAATATATTAATTACAGTTCCCATCTTTAGTAATATCTATGCGGTTAGAAATATTTAGATATTCTAGTTTATGGCATGATCGTACAATTACGCATAGACCTTTATCAGTTACTATCCCATCATTACGGCTTATGTACCTACTCTTTTGCAAATTGAGATACTTCAGATTGGAGTACGTCTCTGCTATTCGATTAGTATTTTATCGCTAAATCCTGTGCTAAAATTTAAATCTAAATAAACTATGTTTGGGGAATAAGTGCGCAATGTTATTGAATTTTTTATCCGAAAGTGGATGGTAGTGTGAAATTTCTAGATGTACTAGATTTGAGCTAAAAATCAGCTTTGATCTTCTCCATGTTATTTTCATAAATTTTTTTAATTGAGAGTGTTATTTCCACTCTAGCTTAATGCGTTTCCATAAAATAGGAGCACTGCATCTGTATCACAATCAGGAAACATATAGAGTGAGATAGAGGGATTTATCTATCGATAAGAAATGTTAAATCTGTTCTAATAGTTCTAGTATAATAAAAACACTTGTATGCGTCATAAATAATATATGTTGTATCTTTAACAAAACATATAATTACGCAATCACTGCTTCAGACTCGCATATTTGGAACCATTGGTTTCTTTGGACTCGAATGAGTCTGTCTCCTCGCAAAATGGTACAAAATTACTATAGATTGTTAATCCTTGTTTTTTCATATCTATTTTTGCTTCACGAAACCATAACTATGGTAATCCTAATAAAAGGTCCGCTTTCAACTTTTCAGTAACCTCAAAATCATTAAAAACATCATCACCATTAGTAGTTACTAGTCTATCTTTTCCTTCGTATTGGAAAGATAAATCCAGACATTACAACCTGTTTTTTCTTTATATTTAGTGTACTCTATTTTGAGCTTATCGATCAAGCTTCTTCTAATAGAATTTACTCTAGATGATGTATCTATTAATGCCTTGACTATATAATATCTACATTCTGCTTTCATTGCTTCATGACGACTTTTTAGATCAATATTATCATCTCCTTGAAAATACTAAACTTTACATTCTATATAAGCCATTTTAAGTATTGTATTTTATATTTTATATTTAATCAGCGAAAAAATTATGCGATCTATCACTGCAGTCTGGCATTTATCAAGTAGCTAATTAGCCTTTTTTGTTATTTGTATTTTTTTCTGATCTTTCCTTCAGGTTAGGCGCTCTTGAATCCTTTGATGCTTAATCATGTTTACTATTTCATCAATATCAGAATCAGACGAACTGGATTCAGATGAGCTAGTCTCAGGCGAACTAGTAGATGAACTTGATTTAGATGAATTAGACTCAAATGAACTACTCTTAGATGACGAACTAGATTCAGATAAACTAGTCTGAATGAGCTTGATTCTGACGAACTAGATTTAGATGAACTAGTCTCAGATGAAGTAGACTTAAGCAGAATATTAGTTAAGGCTGTCAAATGCTTTTGGTCACTTTCCATTTTGATTATTTATGTATTAAACTTAATAAATTTGATCAAAAAATATGCAAAGTGCCTGATTCAGCCTATTTCAAACTACCAACTGCTTAACCTTTCTTGGTCATACCTTTCTTCGTTGCTTATAAGGAATCAGCATTTTCTTTCCATTTATTTGCATAATTATTCCAGCCGAATTAGATTCTTCAGAAGACTCAGATGAAGAGAAGGAAGGATTATTTTTTATTAGGCTTTTTTCTTTAACCAGCAAAGGGACGATTTCTTGTATTAAATCGACCACAGTGTCTGTATCTACACAATCCTTCAGAATTTCTAATTCAGTATCCAGGCTCTTTACATCTCTTTCTAACCTTTTTACCTTCCTTTTTAAAGTGTTATATTGGGAATGATAATCATCCAATTGTTTCTTTAGCGCCCTATTTTCACTGGAAAGCGCAGTATATACTTCTGCATTTTGCTCATTTAGTCCAAATATCTGGGCTAATTTCTTCGTTTGTCTGATAACTTCCTGTTTGCTAGATATACTATCAGATGAATGATTTTGATCGGTTACTATTTTTGTGATATTTTATATATGATATATCTTACCTCGAACGAAAAAATAAAATTAATAAATGATATCAAACTGATAAATCAGTCCTCCTGATCCTCTAATCCATATACAATATATATGGTATGTGATTAGTTTTCATCAGAGATCTGGAATGACCTTGCCTGATTATATAGTTCTCCTCTTTTTTGTATATTAACTATAGTGTATTTCTTAAATGGAGAAGAATGGTTGTCAGGAGAGTGCTAAAGAACTTTACTAGAATAAGTGTCAGCTTTTGATGGATTTTTTGGACTATGCACTTCACTTGCAAATACTGATTCTATTTTACGTAAAGAGCTAGAAAATAGTAGTTCATGACTTTTTGTTTCGGGAATAAATTCATCATTTTTCAAAAACACACTTAAGTATGTAGACCCAGGCTTTCCCAGGTCTCATAAATGTCCGGAAGAAATTGCTTCCTGAATTCATGTAAGCAATTGCTTTGCTCACTCTTCATTCTTTTCAAGTGATCTAAATACTTGAGGAATATCTTATTGATCCCGATTTTTGCATAACCAGTTACACCTCCATTAGATATGCACAAGTTTTTAATTTCAGAAAGACAAATGCATAACATGATCATCACATCAGCTAGGGCCTGTTTATCGGATGTATTAGATACATCGTACAAATCTAGCCTTTCTGTAACTGATTCTAACAAAAAGTGGTCTGAAAAATCAATCCCTTCATCTTCACATTGTTTACTACGTTCCTTTTGGATTTTATTAGATGATCTGGTTATTTCCGGAATCAAAGTAGTAGAGATTATTTTTTCTGGAGCATTGAGGGTTCGCAATTCTTTTCAAAGCCTAGAGAGACGGGATAAGATGACAATATAATTGGAAGCAGTTTTAATTAAAGTTCTAGATATCGCTTTTACATCTCTTTCACTAAGATTATCTTGGATAATACGTTGAGCCATTTCTTTAATAGTCTTCTCAGAACAAGTACTATCGAATACTTGACATATATTCACTTCCCCAGCCTCTGATCCATCATCTCCTTTTTTGAGAATTACTTGGATTTTACTTCGCCCAATCCTCTCGTGAGGAATTAATACATATGCCTGTTCTTTGCTAAACTTATATTCTTTTTGAAGGCAATCACGAGCCTGACACCTTTTTTCTTTATCTACCTTTGGTACACCAGTTGTCAAAAGCTCAAGTATTTCTGGCACATATTGGCTAAGCTCTTCAAGACTCACCTCCCCTATAAGAAATCGAAATAAGGAAATGATACGTTTTTTATAAGGTTTGTATACGTAATTAATGATTCTATATC